GTGTTGGAATTCCAGACACAGTGCCGGTGCCAGGTGACACCTGTCACCCCTTAGGTGTCCCCCGCGTGTCCCCAGGTGGGCAGCTGGGAGCAGCAGGTGCTCAGGCTCAAGTACCTGCTGTGGTCACACTGTAGGGGGTGACATCTTGGCCTGTCCCCACGTGTCCCCACGTGTCCTCACCTGTCCCCACCTGTCCCTGCGTGTCCCCAGGTGGGCAGCTGGGAGCAGCAGGTGCTCAGGCTCAAGTGCCAGGTCTGGTCACACTGTAGGGGGTGACACCATCATGGTGACACCTTGGCCTGTCCCTATGTGTCCCCACGTGTCCCCAGGTGGGCAGCTGGGAGCTGCAGGTGCTGAGGCTCAAGTACCTGCTGTGGTCACACTGTAGGTGATGACACCATCATGGTGACACCTGTCACTCTGTGGGTGTCCCCACGTGTCCTCACCTGTCCCCACGTGTCCCCAGGTGGGCAGCTGGGAGCAGCAGGTGCTCAGGCTCAGGTACCCGGTGTGGTCAGACTGTAGGGGGTGACACCTTGGCCTGTCCCCACGTGTCCCCACGTGTCCCCACGTGTCCTCACCTGTCCCCACGTGTCCTCACCTGTCCCCACCTGTCCCCACGTGTCCCCAGGTGGGCAGCTGGGAGCAGCAGGTGCTCAGGTTCAAGTGCTAGGTGTGGTCACACTGTAAGGGGTGACACCTTGGCCTGTCCCCACCTGTCCCCACGTGTCCCCAGGTGGGCAGCTGGGAGCAGCAGGTGCTCAGGCTCAAGTGCCAGGTGTGGTCACACTGTAAAGGGTGACACCACCATAGTGACACCTGTCACTCTCTGGGTGTCCCCACGCGTCCCCACGTGTCCCCACGTGTCCTCACGTGTCCCCACGTGTCCCCAGGTGGGCAGCTGGGAGCAGCAGGTGCTCAGGCTCAAGTACCCGGTGTGATCACACTGTAGGGGGTGACACCACCATAGTGACACCTGTCACTCTGTGGGTGTCCTCACCTGTCCCCACGTGTCCCCACGTGTCCCCACCTGTCCCCACGTGTCCCCAGGTGGGCAGCTGGGAGCAGCAGGTGCTCAGGCTCAAGTACCCGGTGTGGTCGCGCTACGGGCGTTTCCTGCAGCCCGTGGAGGACGGGCGGCACCTGACGGTGGCCACGCTGGAGGAGCGGCCGTTCGTCATCGTGGAGAACATCGACCCCGCCACCGGCACCTGCATCCGCGACTCCGTGCCCTGCCGGCGCCAGCTCAACCGCACCGCCAGGTGGGCACACCTGGACAGGTGGGGGGTACACCTGGGAGAGGTGGGGGACACACCTGGGAGAGGTGAGGGGCACACCTGGACAGGTGGGGGGCACACCTGAGACAGGTGGGGACACACCTGGGAGAGGTGGGGGGAACACTTGGGACAGCTGGGGGGCACACCTGGACAGGTGGGGGACACACCTGGGACAGGTGGGGGGCACACCTGGGACAGGTGGGGACACACCTGGGAGAGGTGAGGGGCACACCTGGACAGGTGGGAGGCACACCTGGGAGAGGTGGGGGACACACCTGGGGCTGCTGGGGGACACACCTAGGACAGGTGGGGGGCACACCTGTGACAGGTGGGGGACACACCTGGGAGAGGTGGGGGGCACACCTGGGAGAGGTGGGGGTGACATTGCCCAGGTGGGCACACCTGGGACAGGTGGGGGGCACACCTGGGACCGCTGGGGGACACACCTGGGACCGGTGGGGGTGGCATTGCCCAGGTGGGGGATACACCTGGGACAGGTGAGGGGACACACCTGGGAGAGGTAGGGGACACACCTGGGACAGATGGGGGTGGCATTGCCCAGGTGGGCACACCTGGGACAGGTGAGGGGCACACCTGGGACAGATGGGGGTGGCACTGCCCAGGTATGTTCTGGAGGTGTCACTGTCACCCCAGAGGTGACACTCTGGCCCTGGGGGTGTCCCTGGAGCCCTGGGGGTGTCCCCACCACTTTTGGGGTCCCTGCAGCCCCCCCCCGTTTGAGAAGAAATGCTGCAAGGGTTTCTGCATCGACATCCTGAAGCGCCTGGCGCGGGCCCTGGGCTTCACCTACGACCTTTACCTGGTCACCAACGGCAAGCACGGCAAGAAGATCGACGGCGTGTGGAACGGCATGGTGGGGGAGGTGGGACCCCAAAAACCGCTCCTCTGCACCCCAAAAACACCCCAAAAACACACCTGTGCATCCCAAAATACCCCTGTGCACCCCAAAACCACACCTGTGCATCCCAAAAACACACCTGTGCGCCCCAAAACCACACCTGTGCACCCCAAAAACACACCTGTGCATCCCAAAATACCCCTGTGCACCCCAAAAACACACCTGTGCACCCCAAAACCACACCTGTGCTCCCCAAAATACCCCTGTGCACCTCAAAGTACCCCCGTACACCCCAAAAACACACCTGTGCACCCCAAAGTATCCCTGTGCACCCCAAAAACACACCTGTGCACCCCAAAAACACACCTGTGCACCCCAAAGTACCCCTGTGCACCCCAAAAATAACCCCAAACCCACC